GATTTATCCTGCAACGTGACCAGTTGACGAATCTAGAGGATTTAGAGTCCCAGAATTTTTAAAAGCAAGTATAAAACTTAGACCTGAACCAACGTAGTCAGAGAACAGAACAAAAGATATTTCAAATCTCCCAATGCCGTGCTCAGTGTCTGAACCGCAGCTCTTTTCGTTCTCGAGTTATGTCTTAATTTGGCACTAAATGAAAGTGCAGACACCATCGGATTAGTTGCGCTTTGTAAGAACAGGAATTATTTTTGCTAAATTTAGCTCCTAAATTCCTGAAACTGTCAGTCTGAGTTGTTTGGACGCAGTGCAAGAATGAAGAAATGAACTACGCAATTTTGATTATGCAAAAGTGCACAAAAAATGCCAAAGGAAGTTGGAAGGATACACCATAGGGAAACTTAATTTACAGCACTGATTCGAGAACGATTTAAAGAAAGAGTGGGTTCAGAAGGATGAACGGCAATCGAGAATTTCCGTTACTGTTAGTACAAACATGTACGTTTATGTACCCCTGCAGCCACCAACCAAAACTACACTTTCTGCTTACTGCCCCTGCTTTCGCTTGTTCATTTCCGAATGGATTGATCCTTGTTCACTGCCCGATCGGGATGCATATTTTTTAGCTCGATGCTTTCAAATGATGATGCCAAATCATCTACGTTATTCGCAACCGAACTGATAGTATCATCGGCTACTGGCTCAATAGTTGGCATGAAATCACTGAACAAATCCTCACCGCCAAGATCCTGCAGCGCGTCTTTTTCTGGCTGAAACAAGAACAGCAGTAAAATCACCTCAATATTCAAAAGTATTCCGAAGAAACAGCACAACAAAGGAAGAATTGGTATTTACCAGAATAGAGAAGGAATAAGGATAGGGACACAATTTCTGTAAGTGTAGACTAATTCAGAATCATCATTTAGTGAAACCAATGACTGTTCAAAATTTTACCAGTTAACGAACAACAGGGGAAATGTAGTCTGGAAAAACTCTGCACTGTTGCTCCCAAACATGTGCGCATCTCTGCAATATGAGGAGCAACGCTGGAATCTAAATCGACTGTCCGGACGACCTTCATACCACTACTTGTCTATAATTTAACACTTTTCGCCAACTCGATCGACGTCCCAATGGGCAAAAAGAGGTCCTCTGTCAAGCGTTTTGGTCAAATTTACCACTTACGCCAAAACTGTAATAACCAGGTTCGGTTGCACACATGGCCTCAACATCTGTGGCGTGTGTGCAAGGCAATTTTGAAGTCGAAGACAAATCTAAGGGTTTCCTGCAATCAGGAGATGTGTGTACTAATCCACAACCAAGTTAGTTTTCCGAAAATGAATTCTGAACAATTCAAATTCCAGTTGTTTGGCATATATTTTTCGTGCTCTCCAGTTATGCAGAATGTGATGCTAAACTCCCTAAACCTATACAACATGCACAAAAAGTTGGCTTGAGTTGGCGCCGAAAGTAGCGCTGAAAGTGTCGAGGTTGATAAGGAAGTTTTTGTTGTAAAGTAAGTCATGTTTGGGTGCAACTACCTGTTCGGGGAAAGCGGAAGTACGATTGGGAATATTTTATTTCCGTTAATTTAATCTTCGAACTATTCTTTTTTCTTTGAAAATGGATTTGCTTTAAAAGTGCTTCCGTAACTTCCTCACCAATCAAATTTTGCGTCTTGCTCCGGACCGGCGCCGTTCAACCCAATTTACTGTTTTTTCTAAACCTTTTCAGCGTTTTCCTCAATCCTCCTCTATTTAATGTATTGTCACAGTGGGCTTTTTACAAGATTTCCCAAAATATTTGCATTTTAATACAGTGCTATAGCTGGTACCGTACTGGTTTTCATACGATTTATTCGGTTTACGATAACACTCGAAAGAGGGAGCTCTACTATCAAGTAACTATTGCTGACATTTGTTAACATCCACGTAAATTCACAGGTGTTGTTGCTTCTCATGGAAAGAGTAATACAAGGGAGTTTTGACTTTTTTACTTTGCCACTGGAACACTTTCCATCACCGAATGTACTGATTATCCTGACCACAAACCGCATTTTGGCTACCACATGTAACAATCCGCTTGGAATCGAATTTGAACTCATATGCGCAACTTCAATTTTTTTCCAGGAAACGCAAAGGTATTTAGATGCGAATCTGTGTGCGGCATTCAGGCGGTGTCCTATTTGCTCGGCAGAAACTCAAAATCGCCCAGTTAAGACAGTGTGCAGTAAAATATTGCATAAAGCTGGGTCACAGGTTTGGAAATCACTCACAGAAGCCTAACAGCTATGAAACGAAGTGCAAAATATGATTAAATGTGTTCGGACGCAGGAAATTTGATTTTAACTTTAAAACTTTTTAAACTTAACTCTAAAAAATAAAAAAAAAAAAATTAAAAGGTGGCAAAACTACGAGTGCGATTTCGAATAAGAAAATTTCGGGTGGACGT